AAGGGAGGGGAGGGGAGGGAGGGAGGAGATGAGAGGAGAGGAGGGAGAACCCCACCACAACTCCTGGGAATTCCCATTGCTGTCTTTTGGACCAAACAGAGGCCTTCTGTTGGAATTCTTCCCGTCTGTCCCTGGTGTATAATTATGAGTTTCTAGCTGCCTTCGAGTCCAGGGTGGAAAGAAAATGCTACAGGATAAAATACTACAATACTGCAGGGGGGAAAATAAAATGTCAGAATCACTGCTGGTGATTTGAATTCTAGCTTCCTTCCCCAATCAAATTACTATAATTTATATTTCAACCCTTGATAGTCACTCCATTCGGACTGTGCAGAATTTATAGTTTCATTTAGTGTAATCTCTCTAATTCCTTTTTCGGGGGGAGGGGGCTCAGGCTGCTTGTTTGTTTGAGGGAGAAGGTCTCACTGTGTTGCCCAGGTTGGCCTCCACCCCTGGGCTCCTGTGAATCTGTTGCCTCAGCCTCCCACGTGACTGGCCCCTGCAGGCATATGCCACCAGGCCTAACTTCCTTTTGCCGCTGATGGTGCGTGCATGACTGTCCTTCTGGGTGTCTTGGACCACTGGTGGTAGAAGCGGGACAGTCATGCACGGGACAGCTGTGCATGGACACCTGGTGGTTCAAGTCACTGGACAGAGATGGCCCCATCACGAACATGTTGAATCTTTGACCATGTGCTTTTGTCAAATGGTGTTCTCATTTAGGTACAGTATATGAAATGTACTCCTCCCTAAATTTTAGGTTTTAAAAAATTATATTGACCATAATAGCTCTTTCTTTTTTTAATTTACATTAATTTTTATCAGGACATGCCTGCAGTGCATAATAATTACATTCCTCATGAGGAGTTGATGCATGTACATAGCGTTTTCATTCCTTTTCACCACCTTCTCCTCCTTGCTCTTCCCCCTCCATCTCTTGATCTCATTCTGCTTTTTAAAAGGTTATATCTCCCACCTGGGTGTGGTGGTGCACGCCTGTAATCCCAGCCTTAGGGAAGCTGAGGCAGGAGGATGGTTGAGAGTTCGAGACTAGCCTGGGCTACAAAGTGAGCTCAAGGCCAGCCTGACCTGCATAGTGAGACTCTGTTTCAAAAAGGCAAAAGAAAAAAAAAAAAAGAAAAAGAAAAAGACATATCTCCCTATCTCTTTTTTTTTTTTATTTTTCTCTTTATTATATTTGGGTTTCTCATATAAAAGTAACCATGCAGTATTTAAGCTTGTGTCTTATTTTACTTAAACTTATGGTTTCATGGTACATTCATTTCCCTACAAATGACACAAATTTATCTTTTTTTATGACAGAGTAGTACTCCATTGTGTATACCTACCACATTTTCTTTATCCATTCATCTGTTGATGGACCTATAGGCTGTTTCAAGCTTTAGCTATTATGAGCTTTGCTACTATAAACATGGGTGTGCGTGTAGCACTGTACTGTGCAATTAACTCTTTAGGGAAAATACTTAGAAGAGGAATAGCTGAGCCAAATGGAATTTCTAGTTTTAGTTTTTTGAGGAATCTCCATACTGATTTCTATTATCGTTGTACTAGTTCACATTCCCACCAACAATGTAGAAGGGCTCCTGCTCCCCCTGAAGTCTTACCAGCATTTGTTATTATTTAATTTCTTGATGATAGCCATTTTTCTCTAGATTAAGGTAAATTTCAGTGTTGTTTTAATTTGCATTTCTCTAATGGCCTGAGATGGTGAACATGTTTTAATATATTTATTGTCCATTTGTACTTCTTCTGAAAAGTGTCTGTTCATTTCAGTGCCTCAGTTTTCTATTTGGTCTTTTGTGGGGGGGTCTAATTTTTTCTTTTTTTAGTTCTTTGTGTATTCTAGATATTAATCATCTGTCCAGGGAATAGTTGGGAAAAAATTTCCCATTTTGTAGGTTGTATGTGCAGAAACTTCTTAATTTAATATGATTTCATTTATTGATTCTTGCTTGGTCCTATTTCTTGTGCAATTTGGGTTCTGTTTTTAAAAAGTTCTAGCCTATGCCTATGTCTTCAAGAGTTTTATTTATTTTATCTTCCATTAGACTAACTGTTTTAACATTTAAATCTTTGACTCTTCTTGATTTTAGTTTAGTACATGGTGAGAGATATGGTCTAAATTCAATCTTTTGCATATGGATAGCCAGTTTTTCCAGCACCATTTATTAAAGAAGATATGTTTCCACCAGTATATGTTTTGGTCCCTTTGTCAAAGATTGGATAGCTGAATCATCTGGAGCTGTTTCTGTATCCTCCACTTGATTGATTGATTGATTGATTGGCCAGTACTG